AGCTACCAAGCATTAGTTTGCCCGACTAATTACTATTTCTTTCAGCTCCGCTGCTGCTTTGAGCTGAAACAAATAAATTGAAGAGCTCACTGTTTCATTGTATTTCTTATAGCAAGCTATAACAGTGAGCAGGCGGGTTTTCCCCTCTCTCTCCGTCTATGTTACCTGCTGCGCTGTACTAATGCAGACACGTTCATACGATTTGGCGCTTATGCTTCCAACTCTTGTTTGTGTACAGTTTTTAGACGCAGACTCTGAGGAGTCCTGCAGCAGAAGTTATTTGTGCACTATGTTTTTGGCGCTTCCAGCTACCAAGCATTAGTTGCCCGACTACTTCTCTCAGCTCCGCTGCTGCTTTGAGCTGAAACAAATAAGTTGAAGAGCTCACTGTTTCATTGTATTTCTTATAGCAAGCTATAACAGTGAGCTGGCGATTTCCCCCCTCTCTCTAACGTCACCTGCTGCGCTGCACTGACGCAGTCACGTTCATTTGATTTGGCGCTTATGCGTCCAACTCTTGTTCGTGTACTTTTTAGACGCAGACTCCGAGGAGTCCGGCAGCAGATATTTTGTTGTGCACCATGGTCTTGGCGCTTCATGCTACCGAGCGTTGGTCTGCCCGAGTAATATAATATTTCTTTCAGTTCTGCTGCTGTGTTGAGCTGAAACATTAAGTGGCAAGCTGTTTTAACATTTAATGCTATATGGCTCAGGTTGTAGAGTAGACGGGTCGGCTTTTCTCTCTCTCTCTCTCTCTACTTCTGCACTGCACTAATGCAGGCACGTGCATTTTAATTGGTGCTTACGTTTCCAGCTCTTATTTCGTGTACTGCTTTTAGGCACATACTCTAGGAGTCCTGCAGCGAATGTTTGTCATGCATTATGGTCTTAGCGCTTCATGCTACCAAGCCTTAATCTGCCCGGCTGTTAATTTTTCTTTCAGCTCCGCTGATGCTTTGAGCTGGAACAAATCAGTGGGCACGCTCACATATCTAGAGTAAATTCCTATGGCAAGCTGTTTTACACC